AGAGAGAGAGAGAGAGAGAGAGAGAGAGAGAGAGAGAGAGAGAGAGAGAGAGAGAGAGAGAGAGAGAGTTCCGTATTTCTTCTCCTGGTCCTCCATCTCTTCTTCCTCTTCTTGAGAGAGTGAGAGACTGGAGACTTGGCATTAGTGCTATGGCGAATCAACCCCTTGTTCAAGATCTGGGATTCATTCATTCGGGGTTGTTTGGAGGTCGACGGGAGTGAGAGATGGAGGAGAGACTATTAGTCCTTGGCGCTGCCATACATTATTTCTTCTTCTTCTTCTTCTTCTTCTTCCTCTTCTTCTTCTTCTTCTTCTTCTTCTTCTTCTTCTTCTTCTTCTTCTTCCATTCTCCTCCACCTCGAGTCCGTCTGTGCATGGATATGGCAGGCAGTTTCTTCTATGCATTACCCCCTCAGGTCAGATCTTCGCCACAGTGTCCGCTTGTGGCACTGTCAGTCAGTTGTGTTTGTTCTGAATCTTCCGCTGTGTTAGTTTGCATCTCTTCATCATGTTGGTGATCTTTGGACTTGCATTGCCGATCAGGCATGCATCATCACCCCAACCTGCCAGTGGTTCCACACTCTTCCTCCTTTATTGTCCTTTTCGACTTGTATTGTCCTGCCTGACATTCTCGAAAGCAAGGCGTCAAGCCATCACCACAATTCATTAACAAGAGACGACCAGCACACAGCACCATAATGATTGTGCTCCTCACTCACCCCCTTCCACCGCAATGCATCAACTCTTAAGCGTCTTAAGACTCTTAACTGATCATGGAGTCAAACCAGCACCACAATGGGAAACTTATGGCATCCTTGGAGTTTTTTTTTTTTTTTTTTTTTTTTTTTTTTTTCGCAACGACGACAGTACCATTGCATTGACACTCAGTCTGATCCCCGTGTAGAATTTGCCGCCTGGAAACGACAGCAGGCATTGTAAGTTGGTGCACTCGACATCTGGAGAGAAGTGGTGGAATCAGCTGGGCAGCTGCCATATCTCCGAAATCACTACACCGTTTGGGAGAAGGGTTGGCGGCAATTCAGTAATGACCGGGAGGAGATCTGTTGTGGACAAGGGAGACTGGTGGGAAAGGGACTTATGACAGTGCAAATGCCCCTTCATGATAAGCGAGGTTGTTTCAAGAAAGTCAGCCACAAGAACCCAACACATATGACAGAATGGGGCACACATGTAAGTGCTGGAAGCAGATAGATGCAAAGATTGAAAGGGCAACCCCCTTCCAAAGAAACAGAGTTACAAGGGGGTATTGCTCTGCTGCAATTCAGCCCCTTCATATCCCTCCCTCTTCACCTTTCTTTTGTGTACTGACAGAGAGGAAGTCAGATATCAGACACCTCAGTGGGGTCAACGATGGCATCATTGCTGAAGATCAATAGAGTCTGTTGTCATGGCTATGCTTGCTTCCTGACAGAGCATGTGGCAGTTTTATTGGGAGGAATGTCCTTTCTCCAACCTGTTTCATCTCTCCCAGAATTCCACATGGCCCGGTACATAAGTGGACAGATCTGTCTGTCTGTCTGTCTGTCTCTCGATCTGCCGGACTGTCGGTCTTTCGCTCTGTCGGTCAGTCAGTCAGTCGGTCGGTCGGTCGGTCGGTTGGTTGGTTGGTCTGGTCAGTCCATTGGCCGGCCTGCCTGCGTCTGTTTGTGTGTCTGTCTGTCTGTCTGTGCAATGACTTGCTGATTTCTGCTGCCGAGATTGACTGCGAGGCTGTACACTAACCGGTAGGTTAGATTTGTAATTTTTTTTTGGGGAATTCATTTTTCGCGGACAGGGTTCGTGGCCAAGGAAGTTCTGCAGCGCTGAAGATGGGAGCGGCACCCCGGACTTCAGCTTGGTGATGACAGCCATAGCCGGCCTCTGAGAGGTTGCCATAGCTGGGGCACTCTCAGCGCATCTACCCCTGGGGGTATCTGCGTGTGGCAGGGCTATCTTGAGGCTCTTCAGAGTGTATTGGTGGATGCTGTTGCTGGCGCCCTACTTCGCAGGGCTTCTGTAGCAGCCGGGCAGCCATAGCTGCCTTCTTCTTCGTCAGAGTGACTCATCGGCACTGAGGACTACATCGCAGTTCATGATCTTCATCTGGGTGGATGGCACTTGCCTCTGGGAGGCTGTTTCAGTGTAGCGCTTGTCTCTGAGAGTGGGATAGTGGGTGTGGTGTGTGATACTGAGGTGGCGAGATACTGGGTTGAACTCTGTAACGATAATTAGGGTTAATTGAGTTGAGTTGGCTCATCATCAGTGTTATATTCTGATTGTGATCTTCGCAGTGTCATCTTGTGATTGGTTGTTGGGAGTTTTTCAGAGAGAGAGAAACACTGTGTGTATTCTCCCCATCTGTGCATGGTTGATATTCCGCTGCTTATCTCTGGTCTGTGTACAGTGTGGACTCTGTCTCCTCTCCCCTGTGTCTTGTGCATGTATGGGCATGTGTGAGATATCCTGTGTGCGAGTGGCAGCAAAATTGTCAGACGACCAAGTTCATAACATCTGTCTGTCTGTCTGTCTGTCTGTTTCTCTCTCTCTCTCTCTCTCTCTCTCTCTCTCTCTCTCTCTCTCTCTCTCTCTCTCTCTCTCTCTCTCTNTCTCTCTCTCTCTCTCTCTCTCTCTCTCTCTCTCTCTCTCTCTCTCTCTCTCTCTCTCTCTCTCTCTCTCTCTCTCTCTCTCTCTTGCACACACGATCTCACTCCTGATGTTGATGTCAACCAGGTACCTGCAATCTTTGCATTACGGTAATGCCATCTCGGCTGTGCTATTTATTGGTCTTGGCTCAATTTTTGAGATGGAATTAAATGGGTGGTGCTTCCGTTTTACATTTGTTAGGCAAGTTGTATAGTTGAGATGAAGCTTGCCCCTCACCACCTTAACCACTTTGATTCAATTAAAGACTGTAACAATTGTAGAAGAAAGGTATGACAAGCGCCAAAGTGCCAGTTGATATGATTCTGTCCTTCCATGCTCAACTCGCAAAACTCAATTGTGAGACAATTTGGCATTACATTGCAACTCAAGGAGAAGATGAATGGGTTCACGAGAAAAGAATCGGAACCAATGCCATCTCCCTCTCATTATTTACCCCTGCTCTTTATTTCTAAAGAATTACAATAATAAAAATGATCAAATGAACAAGAATTAATGTCCAAAAGAACCCATTTACTGACAGACTAGAAAGAGCTCTCCTATAGCTCACTCCTCCTCTACTCTCCACTAGGTATGACAAATAGCCATGGTGGAGCATCCAAAGCCACCACGGATATTCAGAGGACAACACCCTGCTGTAACGCCTTTCTCCTCTTCATTACCGCCATAGCTACTCCTTCGGATGAGTCCTATGCCCAACCGGTACCCCAGCAGGGGCCTTCTCGATGCAGCGCCAGCTAGAAATATGGAGATGCCGATTCACCATAGCCAAAGGTAAGTCTCCTTGCCAGTTCCTACCTTTCTCCTCCTTCAACCTCGCTTCACCTCCATAGCCTGGCTGGAAGGTCTTTTCCCTCTACCTCCATAGACTACTGACGACCAGTGCCGCCACATTGGCAGTGATAATCACCACAGGTTGCCCTCCTTGGCTGCCACATATCCTTCTTCACCATTCCTCCCATCTGTTCTCAACCCTACCGTCTTCACCCGAATAGAACGCCCGGTCATTATAGCTGTATTTGGGACAACTTTCAGCCCAGATACGGCGATAATTACCGGGCGTTCTATTCGGGTGAAGACGGTAGTGGAAGAGCTCTCTGGCTAGAGGTCAACCAGACTGTCGCTCAATGGTGTTATGCACCGCACTACTGCTCGGACCCGACAGTAGTAGCGCACTCATAGGAAACCGAACCAATACCCAACTGCAAGGAAAACTCCACAGGAGAGACTCCAATCACAAGCTCGATGGATTTTATTTACCCGCATGCACAATGTGACCAGACTAGTAGTAGAAACCACCAAGCAATGCTCACATCAGACCAAGAGTAGTAAGAGTTGGCTTCTCTTGGATGATTAAAAACCCTCTTCGCACCCCCGGGGCCTTTTGCCGGGGATGAGTAACTGAACTGAGGACCCTCAGAATAGATGGGGCTGTTTTGGGGTGTAATGTTTTGGGGGAAAAGAAGAAGGAAAACCCTCTTCTCACCTCGGGGTCCGAAATGCATACGACAACGGCAAATGACAGTTTGCAGTCCTCGATGGTCTCTCTACCTGCAGGTATAACCACCTACTCTATCCTCTACTCTATACGACAGCGAAGTACAGAGTACTGGCTCTTCTTCAGACAGGAGCTACATAAACAACTCAGCCTGGCTCTTCTAGACAACCTGGCTCGTGTACCAGTTCGGTCGCATGGATGCACCTAAAATACCTCCACAAACAGCTGGCTGTTTTTGAGACAGGAGCTACATATCCAAGCAACCGAGCCCGTGTCTCTGTACCTCACCCTCCTAAGATCAAATCTTTCCCGTATCTCGCTTGCCCCACCTTCGAGGATTCTCTCCAACCAGTCCATCGCGTCCTGAGGTGTCACGCCATCTTCCTGGTCATCATCCTTGAACATATCCTTCCCGCTTGCATTCATCCTCTTCTCAAGGTCTTCCAGGTCCACAAAATCCAGACCAGCATCCCCCACAGCTCCAATCACAAAGCTTGTCCACTTGGCCAAACCACCCAAGTCCGGCACAAGCTCACAGAGCCCCATGGAAATTGCACAGCCAGCTTTCAGAAGCACAGTCATAGCGAGAATTGTCCACTTGAAGAGCGTCCACGCATGGCGTCTTTCCTTCTCCTGAAGATGCAACTCCTTCCCTTTCTGTCCGTCTACGACATGAAACTGGTCACGGCATTCGCACATGAGGTGCAGCTCGACTGACGTCAATCCAAACAGGAAGCTTAGTTTCTGGCGAGAGCCAGATGTCCGCTGAGTGATGTAAACGCGATGAGGTAGGCGACGAGTGTGCTGATCGGTGGCAAAAACAGAAATTCGCGACAGGGCGTTGCAGATTCTTGCGAATGCATTTCTTTGCTCGTCCCTCTGCATGTTCACGACTTCTTTCATCTCGTTGATGGACCGAAAATTTCGGTCGACTTTCCTACCCACATCACGAAAACCCCTCGTCACCAAGTCAGCCAGCTCATGAGCATATTTTGGAGTCTGTTCACATCCAAATAGCCCGTCAGGACAATCGCCAATGCTGCTATTGCATCCAGCTTCACACCATATTTGCTCCGAGTTGCCCTCTTGTACACCAAAGCTCTCGCAGACTCTGTTCAGGTTATTCTTTTGTATAGACAGGTGGCACTCCAGTGTTCTTGGTCTGATTAGCGCCATAGCATCGTCACAGGATCGTGGAACAATTTCCTGGCCCTTCTCGTCCCAAATGGCGTGCCAGGAATGCATGTACCTATATTCCTCCCTCTCCATTCCCTCAATCAGCGTCTCCTCTGTGACAGTCTGATCGTCACTTCGATACCTCCGCGGAACAATAAGAGATGCTGTTACACAGAGGGGACGCAAAATCTTTGTCACTAGATCCACACCTGGGAGACCTGTCGGCTCGCTGCGAAGCTCATAGATAGTTCGCAGAATATTCTTTTCAACCCATTCGGCTGACTCCGCAGGAGGAGCTTTGGACGACGACACCAAAACGTCAATCCAATCATCGTGGCTTCCCCCAAACTCCACGTAGATCTCGTAGCCATTGGAGAATATCTCACAAAGGTCCTTCTTGCAGTTGTAAATACCCTTGTCATGGAATTGCCCATGGAAGCGTACCTGCACATCCGCCACATCACAAATCCAAAATGGTAAGTCCGAATTTTTTGCTTACTCTGGCTGTACATCTTTGTGTGGCCATCCATCTGCTGCAAGCATAGGAGGCATACATACCCAGACAGCAGCGTCACACTACAGGTCAATCGGCAACAACCATTAGACGGTGCAGTGTTGCACCTATGTCCTGGGGTTTGCAGCAGATTCATCAACATGACGGGCAAGAGTGGGTTACTTTGCATGCTGCTGATTCTACAGAATACATTGAATTAAATTTGTGCCCTGGGCTATTCTGGACTGATCTTTCCCTCAACTATGATTTTTCAGTTCAATTCCATCCTGGTTGAGTGAATTCAAGAAACTGACAATTACAGACTACCACCGGTCTTCTCCAGAACACAATGCACCTGGTCATGAATGTATGCAAACTATCTTTCAGGTCTGATGCAGTCATGGTGAGCAACTCCGCTGGTTTGCACCAAATTGCACGTGATTTCTGGTCTGATACAATGTACAATGTATCCAATTTCTGGTCTGATGCAATGTACAATGTGTGTGAGCTCTGGTGTCTAGATCCTTCACTCCTCTGATTTGCAGTCTTTTTTTTTTTTTTTTTACTAATGAATTTGAACCATTTCTCGATTTATGTGTGCCATCCTTGTGCAGGGGCGATGCGAATCTTCTCTGTATCGTTCCAGTTTTACGTTTTAACAGATGTCGCAAAGGACACTGGTTGGCAGGTTTGATTTCTGAGATTGTGAAGCTCTTAGTTGCTCTGTGAAGATTCAGGTGAGGTAAGACTCTCCAGCAAACCCTGGACAGACATTGTTTTTGAAGGCATGGTCGCGACAACAAGAGCGATGCAATGGAGCCAAAGGACCAGCAAAGTGATGATCAGGACTCATACCGAGGAGACAAAACATCGTCAAAGATGCAATGTGTATCCATAGAATCATAAAATGATACAATGTAGCACAGCGGAAGACTTAAGATACAACCTGACACATCGGACACTGTTGCATACTGTAACATTGCAGACCAGAACAAGAACCGACCTCTCAATACAAAGTACAAGATAACACAGCGGAAGACTTAGATACTAATGATCCGAACAATCAATATTGCAATGCAGCCCTGAACACACATCATCATCATCGTTATCTGGTGTGAAGGGGGTCTGGCGCTTCACACAAGAAGACTGCGCCAGCCCCAACCATACACAGACGAAGAAGGAGGGGTTAGACGAAGAGGAGGGGAAGAT